AAAAAAATCGCTTTTTCTTTGCATCTTCGTGATATTCGACATTCCTCTCCAAATAATATGTGCTCCCTGAAAATGCTATCAATTTAGGACAACGCTCTCGATCGAGCCGATGCCGCCGAAGAAAAAGTCCGTCAGATTACTGAAAAGCTTGAGCGAGTTGAGGAAGAGCTCCGAGATACGCAAAAGAAAATGATGCAGACTGAAAATGACCTTGATAAGGCCCAGGTAATCACATTCAATAAACATATAAACAAGATTTATCTATTCTTTGTAAGCGACAAAATAATTACTGTAAAAATGACAGTTCTTGTTGATTCTTTAAGGATCATACTGTTTTTTTTTTCAAATCACACCATTATAGATTCTATTAATTTTTTGTTCAATACTTTTGCGCACAAAAGTAGTGTTCCATTTTTTTCAAGTGTTAAACGAAAAGTGCTTTTGAATAGCACATTGAAGTCCTTTTTTTGCACCATATGTTCAAGCTTTCGAAATTAGTGTCGCATTTCTCTAGTTATTCCCTATAATTTCTTTGCGAGTGGCGATATTGAAGAAGAAATGGCGAGGATACTGAAATTAGAAACATATGCACGTTCACTAACGAATTTTTCTTCTTTTTGAGGTTTTTGAGAATTTTTGAGGTTGAAGTCAATTCGTGCACACACAAATCAAATCTAAAGAAATATAGATGCTGCATTCAAGATAAGAAAGAAAGCGAAAACGAAAAGCCTTTTCAGATGTTTTCGAAGAACTCTTTACTATTTGATTTTGTTAGAACTAAATCCTTATGACTAGAACTAATTTATTTTGGTTTCTTGAGATTTTACCCTGGACCTCTGGTGATCACATTTATTTGTACCATTTAGGAAGATCTCTCTGCTGCTACCAGCCAACTGGAAGAGAAAGATAAGAAAGTCCAGGAGGTATGTGTTAATTACTTATAGTCGCCGTCTGCTTTGCTTTGAAGCCGCCTAATATAAGGAGGTGGCGATTTTTAGGTCTTTCAGTGCGTTTCATATCTTCTACCGACACAATATCAGAGGTAAGATGACCCCATGATGACAGGTTTCTTGTAAATCTTGAGGGATAATAACAGAGTTAGATGTTAGAGTCTTTTTTCTTCAAATTCTAGGTACAATAGAGAAGTTGTTTAATAATGTGGAAGTATCACTAGAATGCTTTTATTGGGATATTGTTGCATATTGGTCTAAGGAATTTGCAATCTTGCCAGTTATGGAAAGATAAAGGAAGGGCATTTGTTAGTGGATGATAAGATGTTTGTTGATTTCAGATGAAATTCCATAGGTTTTTTTCTGAATTAAACCTTTAACTAAGGTCTCAGCAGGATTATAGCAACCTTCTTCGTACCTCTTTATCTTTATCATTTACTTTACCATAAATGTTTGAAATCGATTTTCCTTTTAAAAAGTGCATTTGCTATTCGAACAATGTTTTGCATCGTGCTTTTGTAGAGACTCTTAGTCAGGCAGTGCACCGCACTAGTGATTCATACACCATTCCTTCGTATTCTTGGCATTCATTCGTACAACATCCAATCGCTTATCATTTTGGACTTGACGGGTCGAACAACTGATGTAGCGTTTTCTTCCGATAAGCTCGGAACAAGCAATTACATCGCTATAAGAACTCCCTTTATCTGCTGAACAAT